CACTGAGTCACCAAATGGTTGCCATGAAGACTGTAATGCTTTCTTTCAAACATGAAATCACAGGCAATTATCATGTTTAAATGCAGGATTTTCTATATTTTAAATGCTTATTTATCAATTAGTATTTAATATTAATTTAGGATCATTGAAAATTAGATGTAGCTGCCTCTATGACCAAATTTTGATAATGCTAGTAAGTTTCCAACAAAATGTCTTAGGCTGGGGTCCCAGAAAACAGGGCTTGCTAGGTGACTCAGTGGTAAAGAATCTGTCTGCCAACGTAGGAAAAGCAAGAGACTCAGATTCAATACCTGGGTCGGGAAGATCCCCTGGAATGGGAAATGACAACCCACTCCAGTATTCTTCCCTGGAAAATTCCATGGATAGAGGAACCTGGTGGGCTACAGTCCATGGATTTCAGAGTTGGGCACGACTGAGAGACAGCACACACATACACATCTTTCAAGGAAACAGACTCGGATACACTTGCACAAATTTTATCAGGGAGGGCCGTTAATATCTTCAAAAAAGTTAAATAGGCAGAATTGGGCAAAGAGAATTTTCCAGGTCAATGCTAATTCCTAATTCCAGGTCAATTAGGTCAATTAATCCTAGAGGGAGTTCGGCAACTGGAAAGACCCTCTGGACATGGGTAAGTTAAGAAAAGGGGAGTCCATGAATCTGTATCATTGCTTTAAATGACTCCTCAGATGCAAGCCAACCCAGGGAAGAGAGAAGGTATGACCTCACGGAGGACAACTACTTTCAAACAAAGCCAATTTCCTAGAATAGCCTGTAAAGGAATGAATGCCCCATCCTCAGAGATACCTGGATGCTATACCACAGTGCACACTCTAAGTAGTAAAGCGGTATTTCTATATTATGAGATGATGCAATCTAGAATTATTTGCATATGAGAGCGTGGCAGCTCACTAGCCATTCATATCTTGCCTCTCTAATGATGCCTACTTCTCTGAAAATAATTTTTACTTAGCTCCTCATTTTGCCCATTGTTTATCCCACCTTGAGTTTCAGTTTCTATCTGAATTTCTGTTGCTTTTTTTTCTACCTATTTCAGAATTTCAATTGAAAAACAGTGGCCTTTGAATATTTTGCTTGAGTAATGCTAAAATAATTTTCATGGGCCCCTCACACATTTTAAAGATAATTTTTATAATTTTATAATTTATTTAAAAGCATGTAAAGAATATAATGTGTGGTGAACTTTAAATATTGAATATTATAAAAATACATTCCATCATATTAAAAGTACTACATAGCATCTAAATATAAGAAATACTAATATAAGGCATAGTTCTTAGCCTATGGTATTGCAAATTATTCTTAGATAATTGAGACATATATTTGAAAAAAACAATAATGAAAGGAAGAATATGACACTAGGGAAATGAGTTAGTGTGAATATCCAGTCTATTGTGAAATGAGATGGCCATTCCACTACCTAAAACCTTTCAGTTCCTTTCCAGTGTCCTTGGAAAAAGATGTAACTTTCAGGCCACACATACTATACTCACTTTTCAGCTTTTATTTCTGCTGTATATTTCCTTACTATTGAGTACTCTCTCAATCCTATCTATCTATCCTAGGCAGATAGATAAGAAGTCTGGGGTTTAGAAGAGATCAGTTTAGTTGTGTTCAGTAGCTCAGTTGTGTCCGACTCTTTGGACACCATGGACTGCAGAAAGCCAGGCCTCCCTGTCCATCACCAAATCCCACAGTTAACACAAACTCACGTCCATTGAATCAGTGATGCCTCCAACCATCTCATCCTCTGTCATCCCCTTCTCCTCCCACCTTCAATCTTTTCCAGGATCAGGGTCTTTTCCAATGAGTCAGTTCTTCACATCAGGTGGCCAAAGTATTGGAGTTTCAGCTTCTGCATCAGTCCTTCCAATGAATANTTGTTCCATGTCCAGTTCTAACTGTTGCTTCTTAACCTGCATACAGGTTTCTCAGGGGACAGATAAGGTGATCTGGTATTCCCATCTCTTTAAGAATTTTCCATAGTTTGTTGTGAAGTCAAAGGGCTTCCCTTGTGGTTCAGCTGGTAAAGAACCTGGGTTTGACCCCTGAGTTGGGAAGATCTCCTGGAGAAGGGAAAGGCTACCCATTCCAGTATTCTGGCCTCGAGAATTCCATGGACTGTATAGTTCATGGAGTTGCAAACAGTCAGACATGACTGAGTGACTTACACTTCACTTCACACAGTCAAAGGCTTTAGTGTAGTCAATGAAGAAGTAGATGTTTTCCGGAATTCCCCTTTTTCTATGATCCAACAGATGTTGGCAATTTGATCTCTGGTTCCTCTGCCTTTTCTAAATCTAGCTTGTGCATGTGGAAGTTCTTGGTTCACATACTGTTGAAGCCTAGTTTGGAGAATTTTGAACATTACTTTACTAGCGTGTGAGATGAGTACAATTGTGCAGTAGTTTGAACATTCTTTGGCATTGCCTTTCTTTGGGATTGGAATGAAAACCGACCTTTTCCAGTCCTGTGCTGAGTTTTCCAAATTTGCTGGCATATTGATTGTAGCACCTTCACAGCATCATCTTTCAGGACATGAAATAGCTCAACTGGAATTCCATCACCTCCACTAGCTTTGGTCGTAGTGATACTTCCTAAGGCCAAATTGACTTCACATTCCAGGATGTCTGGCTCTAAGTGAGTGATCACACCATTGTGATTATCTGGGTCGTGAAGATTTTTTTTGTATAGTTCTTCTGTGTATTCTTGCCACTTCTTCTTAATATATTCTGCTTCTGTTAGGTACATATCATTTCTGTCCTTTATTAAACCCATCTTTGCATGAGATGTTCCCTTGGTATCTTTAATTTTCTTGAAGAGATCTCTTTATGGAAGAGGAGGTAAGGGTGTGGAATTCTCAAGGAGGAGGAAAGGACATTTTCTTTTCTACATTTCTTAGTATTGAATGAGTGAGTGAAGTCGCTCAGTCATGTCAGACTCTTTGCGACCGCATCAACTATAGCCTGCCAGGTTCCTCCATCCATGGGGTTTTCCAGGGAAGAACACTTGAGTGGGTTGCCATGTCCAGGGGATCTTCCCCATCCAGGGATCAAACCTGGGTCTCCAGCATTACAGGCAGACTCGTACCCTCTGAGCCCCCAGGGAAGAACAGAGAAGAATCCTTTGTCTTAGTAAGGATTATATAACAACAATGTATTCTGCCTAAGAACATGTTTCTCCTTTTTGAGAACCTTTTCACTAATCCTGTTATCTTAAATTTTGTATTATGGGAGTGGGTCCTGTAAGATCTTTCTATTGTTAGCTCTAATCCTCTCATCTTAAAATGTAAACTGTGGGAGTAGGTCTAGTAAGATCTTTACAACCTTGAGACATTCTTTTGATTTTATTGTAGTAACCAATTAAAAACACCATAACTCTCTGGCTTACAGTGAAGACTGTATATTGTTACCCTGCTTATTTAACTTACATGAGAAATGCTGGGCTGGATGAAGCACAAGCATGAATCAAGATTGCCAGGAGAAACAACAATAATCTTAGATATGCAGATGACCCCACCCTTATGGCAAAAAGCAAAGAAGAACTAAAGAGCCTCATGATGACAGTGAAAGAGGAGAGTGAAAAAGTTGGCTTAAAGCTTAACATTCAGAAAACTAAGATCATGGCATCTTGTCCCATCATTTAACGGCTAATAGATGGGGAAACCAGGGAAACAGTGATAGACTTTATTTTTCTGGGTTTTAATATCACTGCAGGTTGTGACTGCAGCCATGACATTAAAAGAAGCTTGGTCCTTGGAAGGAAACTTATGACCAACCTAGTCAGCATATTAAAAAGCAGAGACATTACTTTACCAACAAAGGTCTGTCTAGTCAAGGCTACGGTTTTTCCAGTGGTCATGTATGGATGTGAGAGTTGGACCATAAAGAAAGCTGAGAACGGAAGAATTGAAGCTTTTGAACTGCAGTGATTGAGAAGACTGCTGAGAGTTCCTTGGACTGCAAGGAGATTCAACCAGTCCATCCTAAAGGAAATCAGTGCTGAATATTCATTGGAAGGATTGATGCAGAAGCTGAAACTCCAATACTTTGGCCACCTGATGCAAAGAACTGACTCATTGAAAAAGACCCTAATGTTGGGTTGAAGGCAGGAGGAGAAGGAGATGATAGAGGATGAGATTGTCGCATGACTTCACCAACTTGATGGACATGAATTTGAGTAGGTTCTGGGTGTTGATGATGGCCAGGGAAGCCTGGCATGCTGCACTCTGTGGGCTCACAAAGAGTTGGATATGACTGAGATACTGAACTGAACTGACATTCTTTTGATTTATTGTAATAACCAATTAAAAAGTATATAACTCTTTTGCTTAGAGTAGCAAAGCGGGCACTCTCCATCCCCCTTCTGATGTATGTGTCAGAAGCTTTCTCTGTCCCTTTTTATACTTTATTAAAACTCTGCAACATAAAAGCTCTTGAGTGATCGAGCCTGGTCCCTGGTCCTAAAGCTAAATCTTTGGAGATCAAGAATCTGACATAGTTCACCATAAGCTATCAGTATTTTAATCCTAATGTTCAACTCCATCTGGCACCTCAACATTGCCTTTGGCCTTTCAAAGTGTTTTTTCAGCTTTCATCTTTCCTCCCTCCCTCCTCTCTCTTTCTTTTTTCTCTTCTCTTTCCCCTCCATCTCTCTTGACTTGACTTTAACCAAGACACCAAAGTTCTGTGGGATGCCACCTCTCTTGTTCCCCAGCATCCCATATGCTCTTCTGCCAGGGTCCTTATCACACAGAGTGTCATTACCTCCCTGTATCTCACATCAATCGCCAGAATCTCTGAAGCTAAGAGCCTTCTAACTTGTTCACTGTTATATATCCAACAATTAATACACCATCTGGTAAATAGTTCAAACATAATAAATATTAATTGAATAAGTTAAATAGCTACTGAATGGTAAAATTAATAAAGTTAACTATTGGAGGAGGTAACCTTTACCTTTTGAAGAATGTACGAGAAGAGCTGTACTGGAAGACAAAAAGTAAAGTATTCCTGGTTTCATTTCTTGAAAGATGACTGTTTCTTTAGAAGCAGGCTACTTTTCTAGGACTGCATCCTAAAACCTAGCACAATATTAGTAGAAAAATAACAAGTTATGCTCTCCTGGCAAATTTAAGTAATATATCTTCACTGATAAAATATAAAGATTACATTTCTGTATCTCATCCCCCTCTTATCCCTCCCAGTACAGGACTTTCAGAAGACAGAAATAAGTTTGCCTTCTAGGAATTAAAACGTAAAACAAATACTAGATAAATAATAGATCAGAGTAGTGATAAGCAAACTCATTTTTAACTGAGTATTCTCTGTTAGAAGTAGGCTTGTTTCATACATTTATGCCACACTTAATCCTGTGGCTAAAAAAAAAAACAAAAATTCTAAATTTGCTCTAGCTCTTGGGTTCTGTCTATAAAATGTAAATACGTCTGGTTGATTGAAGTGTCCAGATGTTTTGGTGTGATATAAAAACATCCTTAGACTACCAAGTACTTCACAGCAATAATTGTACTTTAAATAGCTGATAGAATTATTTTATTGTTGACAGTTTTTAAACCTAATTTCGGTGGAATATTGTTCTCTTGGAATAAAACTATTTTCAGATTCATTTTTCTTGCAGAATATAATAAAGTGCATTTGTGTCTCCAGCTGCTTCTTACTGAAACTGTTTTTAAGGTCTGCTGATATAAAACTTTCATATCTACACTGGCTATGAGACTACCAGCATTCTTTTTTATCTCTGCCACTGACCATTTGATTGACTCTGAACAAATCATACGATGATCCTGGTCTCAGTTCTTTCATCTATAAAATTAAGACATCAGTGAGGTGATTACCAAAGCCCTTTTCAGCTCTAGTATTCAATGACATTATAATTTCAAACCCTACCTAAAAAAGATATTGTGACATTCTTAACTAAGTTAAGGAGCTATGGCTTGTGCCACAGATTTTGATTCTCCTACAGGTGAAGGGAGAGGCCTCTGTAATACAATATAACCTGTTTCAGTACATCTAGACTTTGCCTCTTATTTTCAGGAGTTTCTTAAATTTGATTAAGTTTATGATAAAGAGGGTATGGATTATTTGAGCACAAAGCCCATTTATAGCTCATTTATTTCCCCATTTTTATTTCAGCCTGTATCATTTTCTTATAGGTATGACTGGTAAGCAAGAATGTAGTCACTCAAGGACACATATCTTAGCTATCATGTTGGTAACAAGAATAATGAAACAACAGCTGCAAGCATTTATGAAACAAACGATTATGTATCAGACATTAGTAATGGAACAACCCTAAGAAATATGAACTATTATCTCCATTTTTAGTGATGAACAATCTAAGTCTCAGACATATTAACAAATACTGCTAAGTAACAGGGTCAGTATTAGAAACTATTTGAAGACTTTTAACATCTCTGCAACACCATTTCTAAGGAAAGCGTAGAATTTAGGGCTAATGAACACTGATTATTCTGTGTGAACTCCATTCAATTTAACCCAATTCCACAACAGAAGTCAGAAGTAAGAACAATTGGCTCTTAATATGGAAAATTTTGGTGGTTCAATCCACAAAGTGATCAAATTGCTAACATCTGCTGGATCATCGAAAAAGCAAGAGAGTTCCAGAAAAACATCTATTTTTCCCTATTGACTATGTGGATCACAATAAACTGTGAAAAATTCTGAAAGAGATGGGAATACCAAACCACCTGACCTGCCTCTTGAGAAATCTGTATGCAGGTCAGGAAGCAACAGTTAGAATTGGACATGGAACAACAGACTGGTTCCAAATAGGAAAAGGAGTACGTCAAGGCTNGATGAGATGGTTGGATGGCATTACCGACTCAAAGGACATGAGTTTGAGTAAATTCTTCGGGAGTTGGTGATGGACAGGGAGGTCTGGCATGCTGCAGTCCATGGGGTTTCAGAGTCAGACACAACTGAGCGACTGAACTGAACTGTTTCCTCACCTGCTTTCTTGATTTAAAAAAAAAAAAACAATAATGAATGAAAACAGATTCAGAATTCAAGGATTTTCTGATATCCTAGTTCATTGAAAAGTATTGCCTTTTCCTTTAGCTTCATAAACTCCATCTATCAATATGAAAACCTACAATGCTGATATTCTCTCTACTGATTCCTGATGTCTTGTTCTTTATCTCCATTTCACTCATTTTTTTCTGGTCAAAAGTAAATGAATACTATAAGCTGCTAACATAATTATTCTTATATACCCAAATTATAGTATTAAATGACAGAAGAGAGGGCAGAAAATAACAGTGTTTTTAGATGACAGAATAGAATCTGTGTTCTCCAAAACTATGAAAAACTTGACTCATGGGTATAAACAATATAAGACAGTAGACTTGGAAAACAGCAAAAATAAATCAATAAATAAAACAAAACATAAAACAGATCATTGCAGCTACCTACATCATTACTATTAACATCTTGACTGAAACTCTTTCCATAATATCAAAAACAATTTCTGTAAATGTCAGTTCATTTCTATTACATTGAAATGTAGCATGCAAAATTTTATTCCAAATTGAAACTTATTTAGCATTGTGTAGATACATGCTTCACATACAAAAATCAGGTATGTTAAATTTTACTTTAAAATACAAATTATAAATAATTATATTTATTTGTAAATAAACCAATATGCAACTTGGGCTGAGACTTCATTTCATATTTATTGACAACCATCTATCTCTCTGATGTTTAATTAGTGTTGTTATTTAGCTTATAGTCACAGATGCCTGAACCAAGCAAGTAACTGAAGAGCACACCTTTCCATTTAGCTAGCCAGACGGTTATTTTAATATAAGCTTACCTCCCCTGCTTTGTAAAATGCAAAGATCTTTCTTTCTTGTTTTTCCCACCTGTTTCACTTCATACAAAGGTTTCATGTTTGAATTCTAATTTGCTAACCTTGAGAGCTGGGGTCTTCCATATATTTAATGAAGTTGGTTAATAAATCTCAGTTCTCCTCGAGTAAGCAATCCTACTGCAGACTCAGCTCTCTCTCCCTTGACTTCTCTGGAGCCCAAACAAGATTTGTGCTCTGACAGGGTGAGCATTTACTTTATCAGAAAGCATATTAGGGTGGGCATGTCTCAGCATAATGTGCACCAGAATCAGAGAGGATGACTAATTTGTTCTGCTATTAAGCGGATAATAAAATGATTTAGGCATGTAGATATGAAACAGCCAGCACTTTAAGAATTATATGTAGCATATTTCATCTTATATCTGGCCAAGACTAAAAATATTTTATGTATTAAGTGACATTTACAGGAAAGACAAGGCTTACCCAGAACTTAGAAATGTTTACCTAAGATGAGTTAAGAAGATAATGACTAAGAATTAAAGTTAGGCTCAGCTATGTGCATTTTGCAAATTTTGCTTTATACTAGCTTAGCTTTGCCAATTTCTTTCATGCCTAAATGTTTTTTAAAAACAGCACAATGTCAGGAAATACAAATCAATGCACTATAAGAACATTACTTAGAATTTTATTTGAAATAGTAACCTGTTGATCACCAAGATAACTGCTAATGTGTATGCATGCATGTGGGTTTCTGTATATATAGAAAACACTAATTATCTTTAAAAATCCAGCTTATGTTTATAAGACAGGCAGTCTCTGCTAGGACTGTAAACTGTTGTACTCCTTCTCAAAATAATTTGAAAGTATACATGAAGAGCCTAAAAGATGCAAAAATTCTTTGAGATGGCAATTCTACAATGTCCAAGAAATATCCTGAAAAATCATCAGTGATCTTAGAGTAAGATATTCATCACAGACTTTTATCATAACAATACTTAAAGAAATACTCAAAATATTTCGCAAAAGAGGAATGATTAAATTTTAACATGTTCATAATTTAGAGTATCATGTTATCATTAAAAATTATATTTTCAAAGTTTTAACTGTGTATAGAGAAATATATACAGTAAATTTTTAAATAAAAATGTCAGATACATACATATGTATTTTATGAGAGCAGTACAGAAACCAAAATATTTAAAATCATTACTTTGTTTATATCTGGTTGAGAAACTTATTCTCTTCTTCAATTATTTCAGTATTTCCTATGCTACAATGAAAACATGCTTCTTAGTAATTAAAAAACAACAATAAAAATAACCATCACATAAGTTGATTAAACTATAAAACACTTTTTTGCTGGTCACATTTCATTAAATCAAAGTATCTATTAAAGCTCCCAAATACCTTTTTGAAAAGTGATTAATTATGCAGACTGTGAGAGCCATAACTGAAAAAAATGGTTTGAAAAATGCATACAATTTACTTGCGGTGTTTATAAGAAGTTTTATAAAGAGTTAACACTCAATGCTTTAAGAATAAACTATCTACACTCAATTTTTTCAATGATATGTTTTTTCTTTAGTTTTCATACAGTTGTTCATCACTGTGCAAGTAGTCATCATCTTTTTTTTATGAAGTACAGTAGTTTCAAAGCAGTCTAAAGGGCCTATACATATAGGAATCAAACTTCATTCATAAGTCTAGCAAACTATGAAAAAGTAACATCATGACTCTTGTACAAATATAAAAAGAAACTAGTCAAAGATTTTCTTCAGTGAACTAATAAGAAAACTAACAGGCTGTTGAAACTAGTTCAAATGAGTATTTGACTTACAGAGATTAATATTCTATACTGGACAAAATTCATTTTCCTTGCTATGGTCAAGAATCATTTGCATTGCCCTCAGTTTTCCACAATTTACCCTCTACTCTTAAATAGTTTAAAATGAAGTGGACAACAGAAAGTCATTCAAAGAATCAGAATATCCTATAGTCTCCTTTGTCCATTTCTAAGCCCTCTACAATTTATCCTGACAGCCTCAGTATTATTTCTCATGAGTTCTGGGGAAACATTAAAAATTTTCAGTTAAAAAAATGTACTTTATATCAGAACCAAAATTTATCTCTCACACAAAAGCATTAGAGTTACCTTCCATAGATCATATACCTATGTGCTACCAGCATATGCCTCTAGATGACTGTCGCCAAATTCGTTTCCTTTTTCCCTGT